AAAAAAAAAAGAAAAAGAAATAATGAAAAGTCAAACGGAATTTTCTACCTCTGCCTTTCCTATATTTGGGTTTATTGGTGATGACTGAGGGTTCTCATACAACCGCTCTGTCAAGCTATGGAGAAGGTGACGATCACAAGGTTCTCTAACGTGTTGTCTGGTTAACCTCTTTGACAGAGACACCGGCTGACATTTAAGTTGTCTGCAAGGAGGCAGTCACTTCCATTGTCTGTTAGGGAGCACTGACTGAGACAGGTGGCCCTCAGAAATGCCGCCATCCTGCGTTTGAGTTAAAATCACTCTGGATAGAGACACAACAGCTATAGGAAATAGGGAATTAGCCAGAATTTCCCAAAGTATGTGGTACAAGAGAAAATGTGTTGTTGCCTTTTAATTTTTGCTTTGATGAAAATATACATAGTACTGATTCAATAATTTCTACAACAATCAATAATGTTGGCTACATCTTTCCATTTTTCACCATTCTCACTATTTCTATCCATATCGGTTCACTACCACTGACAAAAGGAGTGGGGGTGGTGTGGTCCTTAAGGTGTTGCACTGTTAACGCAAATGTGGCACCTCTCTTGATTTGAATCCACCCACCACACCACAGGAGAAAGATGAGCAATCTCCCCTGGAGTATTTTACAGCCTCTGAAAACCCACTGGAGGGCCAACTATAAGCTGGTTCCAAATCAGCAGCAGAAAGGTTTGATTTAGGCCGCTGACTTAAACTCAACGCTCCCTAAATTTTTCATCTATAAGAAATACTGGGTTTTAATAAGTTGCTTTTACATTCTTTTTAAATTTTGAGATAATTTCAAGTTTACAAGAAAGTTGCAAAAATACATATAAAACCTCAGATGTTACATTTTACGGTATTTATCTTTCTCTCTTTAAAGAGATACATATGTGTGTATTATTTCTTATAAAACATTTTCAAAGTGATATCCCTTTAACCCCAAATATTTCAGTATTTCCTCAAAGATTTATTGTTGCTGGTAAGGACATTAAATAATCACACAAATAACCAAAATCAGAGGATTAACATTCAAACAGTTGTTGTTATTGTTGTTGATTGCCCTCGAGTCCAGCATGACTCACAGCGACGCTGCATAGCGACTGCTGTAAAATGGAACTGACATCAGGGTTGAGGGAAGGCAGAAAAGGAGGGGAGAAATGATGTATATTGCATTGAAACAGATGAGGGAGAGAACTGCTTAAAAGGGACATATGAATGGGTATTCTTGTCATTACAGAAGTCCAGAGTGAAGGCTGCATAGTGGAGTGGACTTGGGGGGAGGGGTTGTATAACAACGAAAGAGTTTTTCTTTTTCTTTTCAAGAAGAGTGAATTGTAGAGGAGGGGATGGGCAGGGAGAAAAGTGCAACAATGAATGACTAGATACCCTAAGTCTCTGTAAACTTTCACTACAATTAATTAAAAAAAAATTACCTGAAGCCTCTCTAAAGCTATTGACATTTATCAAAGTTCACAGAGTTTCCAGAGGCATGTTGTTTATGATGTAGATGTCACTCCTGCTTCCAAACCTGTCATACTCTGTTATTGCTGTTATGTGCCATTGAGTCACCTGTGATGTATAACAACGCTATGTACAGCAGCTCTGAACGCTTCCCTGTCCTGAGCCAGTCTCACTAATTCTGACACAGCAACCTCCATCACCCCAGTCACTGTATCAATCCATCTTGTCTGGGGTCTACCTCTCCTGTGATGCCCGTCCACTCTTCCAAGCATGATATCCAAGGACTGGTCTCTCCTAGCCACGTGCCCAAAGAGGCAGGGCTTCAAAATCCTAGCCTCCAAGGAGAGACTTAGTTTTATCTTCTCTAAGACAGACCTATTTGTTTTCTTGGCAGTCCATGGTATGTTCAACACTCTTCTCCAGTACCACAACTCAAAGGCATCTATTCTTCTGTCATCCTTAGTCATTGTCCACTCTCTGAAGCATAACAAGTAATTAATAAGACTATGGCCTGGACTAGGTGCACCTTTGTCTCTAGACTGACATTGTTGCTCTTCAGTACTCTGGAGAGATCCATGACAGCAGATTTTCCCAATGCAATTAGTCTTTTGATTTCCTGACTGCTGGTGTTAAAAATGTTGATTGTGGATCCGAGCAAGCTGTAATTGCTAACAAACTCAATCTCTTCTCTATCTAATATAGTGCTGCCAACTGGCCCAGTGGTGAGAAACTTTGTCTTTTTGATGTTGAACTTCAATGCATATTGAAGACTATGGTCCTTAACCTTTTTTTAAAAAAAAATTATTATTAATTTTAATGAAAATGTACAGAGACTTTGGATATCCATTCATTAATTGTTGCACTTTTCTCCCTTTCCAACCCTCCCCCCAGTACACTACCCTCTTAGAAAAGTAAAAGAAAAATTCTTTCACTGTTTTACAATCTCTTCCCCTGGTCTACTCCACTATGCAGCCTTCGCTCTGGACTCCTGTTATGTCAAAAACATCTAATCACATGTCCCTTTTAAACAGTTTTCTCCCTCAACTGTTTCAATGCAGTATACATTATTGAACCCATCTTTCTCAGTCTCCCCCCAACCTCAAGGTCACTCCTATTTTACAACAGTGGCACCATGCAGTATTTGTCCTTTTGTGACTGAGATACTTCACTCAAAATAATGTCCTCCAGGGTTACCCATTTTGAATAATATTGCATGAGTTCCTTGTTTTTCAATCCAGCATAGTACTCCATTGTGTGACTATACCACAGCTTCTCTATCCATTCGTTTGTTGATGGGCACTTAGGTTTTTCCAACTCCTTGCTATTGTGAACAAAGCCACAATAAACATGGGTGTGTATATATCTGCTTGGAAGTCAGTTATGGTCTCTTTGGGGTATATTCCCAGGGTCCTTGACCTTTTGCAGCAAGTGCTTCAAGTCTTCTTCAGTTTCAGGAAGCAAGGTTGTGTCATCAGCATATTGTAGGTTGTTAATGAGTCTTCCTCCAATCTTGATGCCACACTCCTCCTTATAAAGACCTGCTTCCTGAATGATCTGTTCTGTATACATACTGAGATTAAAAAGGTACGGGGACAGGATGAATCCCTGACACACTCCTTTTTTTTATTTTGAACCGTGCAGTGTTTCCTTGCTTTGTTCTGATGACTGCTTCTTGGTCCAAGTATAGGTTTTGTATAATCACGATCGTGTTCTAAGTTTCCCATTTTCCTCAAAGTTAGCCATAATTTATAGTGATCCACACAGTCAAAAGCCTTTGCATAGACAATGAAACACAGATAGACATTCTTCTGGTACTCTCTGATTTCTGCCAAGATCCATCTGACATTGACAATAATGTCCCTACTACCATGACCTCTTCTAAACCCAGCCTGTATTTCTGGTAGTTCTCTGTTAATGTACTGATCAAGTCTTTTCTGGATAACCTTCAGCAGGATTTTGCAAATGTGTGATATTAGTGATATTGTTAGATAATTCCCACACTCTGTAGGGTCATCTTTTTTTTGGAATGGGAATAACTAGGAATCTCTTCCAGTCAGTTGGCCAAGTAGTTGTCTTCCAGATTTCTCGGCACAACTTGGTGAGCACATGCAGAGCAGCATATGTTTGCTGATATACGTCAATTGGTATTCCATCAATTCCTGGGGCTTTTATTTTTCCCCAAGTCCTTCAGAGTAGCCTGCACTTCCTCCTTCATCATCATTGCCTCTTGCTCATATGTTGTTTTCTTTGATATTCTTCTGTGTCAGCCAATTATTTTTGGTACAATGACTCTCTATACTCCTTCCATCTGCTTTTAATGCTTCTTGAATCATTCAATATTCTGCCTATAGCATCCTTAAGCATTGCAACTCATGGCTTCAATTTATTCTTTAGTTCTTTCAGCTAAAGAAATGCTGACTGAATTTAGCCCTTTTGATTTTCTGACTCCAGCTCTTCGCACATTTCATTATAATATTTTGGCTTGTATTACCTAATATACAGTCCTTCATAAAATTTTGCCAGTTGTTTCAATATTAGTCTTTACAACAAAAGGAAATTTAAAGAGAGAGAGGAATATAAATTGACAAATAAATAATAAACCCATATTGTGATGGGTGAAGGAAAAGGCAGTTTAAAATAAGTAGATGATCTGACATTATGAGTGTTGTAACTAATATTAAAAGTCAAAACATGTATGAATATCAACCCTATTCACTATCCAACTTTCTGATGCATAGCATGTAATTGCAAAGAGTATAGGCCGGATCAGGTGCACCTTAGTCTCCAGCCTGACATCATTGCTCTTCAGTATTCTTGAGAGGTCCCTCACAGCCGACTTTCCCAATGCAATTCATCTC